AAATAACGAAATGAGTCAAGAATCAAGTTCAGAAATCGAATAATCCTTGATCTGTTAAAAAAGACATGAAAATCGAATTTGTTCAAATGTGATACATGTCTTGTTAATATTTGTTGCCAGTTATTTCAGTTTATTTTATTTTTAGCTTGAAAAATCACGTTTTACCTGATAAAAAGCGACTTTTTCTCCAAAAATGGTTCAGAATGAAAAAGCGGCAAATTCTGAGCAAAATGTGTGCTGAACGAGGTTCTTGTCACGTAGTCAGATGAGGATTATTCCGTGGAAACGAAAGAAATCTGACACCATACGAGCTTTTTCAATGCAATTGGCTTCTGCAACCTCATAACTTTGTGAGAAAAGTTGCGTTTTGCTTAGAATCTGACGCTATTTCATTCTAGTCCATTTTTGGGGAAGTTTGAAAAAATCGGTTTTTTCAAAGGTGTTCTAGGAACCTGATTTTCTGAAAAGCCACTTTGGAAAACCCGCACGTTTTCGAAAGCGCTTGGACCAGAATTAACATAGTCTAAAACCTAGAAATTTTCAGCTGATTTGAACGAAATACGACGAAGTAAACAAAAAGTCACCTGGCCTATTCTGCGCAAAAACTGTACTTAAAAAATACTGGTAGTTTTTTTCTTTTTTGGCCATTTTTTTGACATTTTTGGCCCTACCATGTAAAAATTTCACCAGATTATGAAACTCTCTGATTCATGCTGTAATTATATTTTTAAAGCGTTGTGTAAGTTGTCTTATTTACCGTTTTCGGAAATAACCTTATTTCCACCTAGAACTTTTATTTTTCTTCCAAATGAAAGGTTTTCTAACATACCCATCGAAGAGAAAACAGATCATGATAATACTCAGCATCAAAGCTAGTGATTTATCAACCTCCGAACTTTCGAGAAACATCAGGCTTTTTCAAATCACGCCAGTTGAACGACTGTTATCAACTGATTCCCGACGAAAACTGCAAGCTCCGCGCAGACTGCTATTAACTTCGACTTATGTAAAACTTTAAATAACTTTTTCGGGTTTCTCATTATAACACCACTAAAGTCGCAGTTCTCGTGGTCTATGCAGAACCTAGTGCTCGTGGATTCTATTAAGAACTTTACAGTCACCCGGTTTTGAGTCACGAAAGGCGAGGCACAGTTGATTTTTAACTGTGTGAGAAGTTACACGACCTAAAATCAAGGTTTTTTCTAAGCACATTTCAAACATGAATTTCTTCCCACGCAAAACAGTATTGAAAACTGGAGTACTCGCTACTTTAGAAAAAAAGATCGCGGGTGTCGAAACGCTGTTCTTAAAAAATGCACTTTCCACATGTTTAAAAGACATATGGCGATTTAGACGAATCAAAATCATAATGAAATGCGAGAATCACTTGTTAAAGAACGCGAGTTTTGCTTGCCAAAACAGCAAACATACTCTTCTATTTCGAGAAAACACATTTTTAAGATTTTTTGATGATCAGTCTGATCTCATTGATGTCTTGTTCTAAAGGGAACGGAACCTTAATCTATTACAACACTTCTAAGATAAACGAAACGCGTTTTCGAAACGTAAAGCAATTGGAAAACTCTAGACACTCTTAGGTGCCATTTTTCCACCATTCATATTTATATCACAATTTCTCAGCGCAATATAATAAAGAAAGTGAACAGATTTTTGAGTGCTCTGATTTAAAAGAGTTCTGATACTTCTGACGCGCTCTTCGGGTTTCTTCAAAATGAGAGTTTTCAAAATTGGATTACTTTTATCTATGATCATCGCATCGAGTTTTCGTTTTGTATATCGTTAGATTTCACTAAAAATCCTTCATTAGAAACAACGTTAAAGTACTAGGAAAATGATAACAACTTGAACGACCGGTCTGATTGTGATGATTGTTTTTCTACCGATGCAGTGTTTTGGTTATAACTTCTTTAACCATAAGAACTGAAGATGTGCGGCTTTCACCATCAGACTCTGAGTCGAAAAATGAGCGAGGAAAAGTACTTTTTGACATTTATGCATATAATTTGTATAACTTGGTGGAGTCGCCAACGCAATAGGTTGTAACAACAAACACTTCTCTTTTTTTCGTCAAATAGTCCAGAGTTTGTTTATAAGCTTTAGTGCCAGCTTTATGTTCAACCAACTTTTTATGTGTTATTTGTGTAAATGAATGTTCTGTAAACATAAATAGCTGTGTTGGAAGGTGTTTGAATGGTGTTCCAAGGAGAGGGAACGAATCTATTGCTGCTGAGCCGCTAAAACCATCCTTCAGTTTTTCGCATTTTCCATCACGAAAACTTATGATTTTTTAAACTAAAATGCCATACTCCGAACCAGCGTAAAATTGTGAGTCAGAAAAGGTGTTTCTCAAAATTTTTGGAGCAAAAAATGTTTTCGATGTTCCAAAGGGGCATCCTTGCCCAAGGATTTTTGGTGAAAAATAAAAGTGACTATTCTGTAACTCTGAGACGGCTGCTTTGTTCAGAATTTTTCGCTGATTCCGAATATCTAATTTGTCTGACCGAGTTTTGGCGGCCAAGAAAACCCGCTTCTCCCGTCTAGTCCCTTCGAAAAATAACCCAAAAACAGCTATTAAAAACCTCGATTTAGATTTCGTAAACCCTACATTTATTTACTTTTTAATTCTCTACAAGATGACGTTTGAATTAACTTTCTATCACTTGCCTGCGTCAAATTTCTATCACTTACAAAACTTATAGAAAAATACACTTATAGAAAAATGTTTGTCATTCAACGCGGATTCCGAATCTTATTCAAAACCTTTTTGCATCTCTCCGTTTTTCTAGAAAATGTGTTTCTTCAGTCGTGGCATGTCAAAAACCCCGTTTTTCTGGAAACCCTAAGAAAACTCTTCAAGAAAACTCTCTCAAGACAAAACTAAAGATCGCATCGAAAAACCCTTAAAAACCTGAGTTTCAAGTTCTTCACGTCTCAGATTACAGAGCTAGCCCAGACCAGTTTTCTGGTGAAGCACGCCTATTGATGATGAAGGTGAACGTACTGGTGGTAGTTTCTAACGGGTGTCCCAGATTAAAATAGACTTTTCTATTTTTGCTACAACTCCGTCATTTTCCATTCAATTGGACCAAACTGTTTTTTAAAAGATGCGCCATTAAAGTCTCTACAAAAATCCGTATAAAAAAGTTTTGAAGAGTGGAAAATGTCAGCGTTATAAAAGAAAAAGCGAAGACGTCTACAAGCGCACAACTTTCTAAAGGCAAAAACCAGTTTCTTCAAATATCTTCGTTACAGTCTAAAATAGAGGAAATTCGAGACTACCATTCAAAAGAGTGCAAAATTCTCTATTTCGTACTCGTTTTGAAAATTTTTTGAATAACTCAAAAGCTCACACTAGCGAGATTAATTTTCGAAGTTTTTGGGAAACCACCGTTTTGGAACCATGTTTGTGTTCCTTCCACAAAAATCCTCATAACTCAGCCAAAAATCATCCTTTTTTGACAAGCTTTTTTTTGTTTAGAAGCCTACAGTCTTTTCTATCTGATGGACTCACTTTTGAAGATTTTGCGAATATTGTGTTTACTCTGTTCTCTTCAGAACATCAAAAAGTGCGATTTTCCAGCCTTACTGAAAAGTTTGCTTTTGTGAACCGGCTATGTTCAGAATAAACTCTTTTTGTTGTGCATCAGAAAGAGCACACTTTAAGGTACTGAAAACTAACAAACCTGAAGAGTAGATACAGTTACGCTTGTCAAGAAATGGCAAAAGAAAGTGTCAAAAACTTGCTTAGATAGTAGGCACTTTTAGAGGTCTTCGCTTTTACTTTTATATTTCTGATACTTTTCACACTGGAACAGTTTTTAATACGGATTTTTGTAGAGAATTTAACGGCGCATCTTTCAGAAAAAAGTTCGGTCCAGTTGAATGAAAAATGGCGGAGTTATAGCAAAAACAAAAAAGTCTATTTTAATCTGGGACACCCGCTATATGGATTTATACTGGAAAAGGATGATGTAAGAAAGAGTAAGATGGTGGTGCAACACAGAGGAAAATACAAGAATAGAAGGAAGAAACGAAAAAGAGAAATTCATCGTAGTAGTGCGTATCTGGACTTAACACGCGCACACATAAACACGTTGTTATCTTCTGTAAGTGATTCATTCATTCATTCTTTCTTTCTTTCTTTCTTTTTCAACTTGAAAAATTTCCCAGCCTCTGCAGTTTCTATATATAGAACTTTTTTACTCATTTCTTACTTATTGCTATCACTCGTACACCACACAAAAACAACCAACAACAACATTGTACCAAAACAAAAATTATGTCAGGATCAATAAATCAAATGAATCAAGAACTGAAACGTCGACGTTCAGAATCGCCTTTCAGGACAATTGATCGAGTTGATGGTGCTACTCTAAACATAGGTGATAGTCAGGACCATGTACAGTTCACCGATGGCTGGGCATTAAAGCGTGATGGAACGTGGAAACATGAAAATAAGAACGCTAAACCAAGGACTTTATCGAATAAAGAGAAGGAATGGCTTACAAAACATGGTTGGACATTACCAAAGGAATAGTGATTGATAATATTATTTTTGTTTCAAACGTTTTTCTTTTTCTGCTAACCATCTATTACTATTCTTTACTATTGTATCCCCATATTTTGTTAATAAAGACGTTTTGTAGACAGAAACACAATTACACAATGCTTTTTCAAAATTGTTCGTCGCTCTGCAAGTTACAAGTGAACCATACCGAGCAATCCAGCTGAAACCAAATTGACAGAATAATGCCACGTAGTAAAATTGTAGGCTAGAGCTTGTATGTATTTCGACTGTTTGGTCGGGGTGAGAATTTTTTTGTGCCCGACATTCTCATTTATTTGTGCCCGATGCTACTGATTAGTGCCCGGTCCGGGTACAAATAAATGTTTTCATGCTTTTGTGCTCGGAAAAAGAAATGTGCCTGGTCTTTTCACCGATTTGTACCCGGTTCATTTTTTAAATAGAAAGAGAAGAAAATCACTGTTTTGTGCCCGGTTTTATCACGACTGTCTTGTGAAAATGATAACAATGTATATAAGTAGATTCAATCGTACAAATATCCATGTTGTATAAGGAACTTTTGCTTACAATTCGATTGAAGTAAAATTCAGTAGTAAACTACTGCACTGCACATAGTGAGTTATATTATACTTCATAATACTCTGCTCAAAACTGAAAAAAACAACATAAACATCTATACTATGGCGAAGTGACAGTGGATCTTTGCAGACAGATTTTTAAACAGATCTGATTTCCATTCGTATATAAATGATCAAAATGTATCTATTAAACGTACAGAACAAACAAACAGAGGTCAAAAAATTACGTATCGATGCTCAGAGTGCCGAAAGTTTCCTCAATGTGATTTTCAAATCCGTTTTTTAATGAAAGATGAGAACGAGTACATTGTTTCAACATCAAATACACATAATCATTCAAATCGTAACGCAACAACACATGAACTAGAATGGTCCGAAAAATCGGTTCTAAATGATTTTCGTACGTGTCCTTTTGTCAGTATTAAACAAGAAAAAGTCGCATGGAAATGGAAGAATGGTCTGGATAAGAGTTCGATTTTGTACTGGTACGGCCATATCCATGTTGTTCCATCATCATATTGTAAACAATATACATCTAGTACTTGGCTACATGCTTATAACACAATGCCTTGGACTCAATTTGATGAGTTCTCATCATGGTTTCACATCAAAAATGTGAAAACATTTATTTGTACCCGGACCGGGCACTAATCAGTAGCATCGGGCACAAATAAATGAAAAAGCCGGGCACAAAAAATAATTTTCTCGTTTGGTCGCCTTGCAAAAAGTGAATGACGATTACAATCAGACTAATTAAAGTCCATTTATACAATCACTTAGTTGTACTGCTTCTTCATTCACTGGACGAACTTATATATTTCATTGGAATATTGGTGCTAATAGTACTGTATCCTTTACGACTGCTGAACGATTATTCCTTGAAGGTATAGTCGAAGCTGTTATGACTGGAACTGTGATTGCTGGCGAATTTTATCGGTACAACGTTACTAACGGGTTAGTAGCTTAAAACTGCAGCGGAAAAACGAGTTTTCGTTCTTATGCGTTTTGTGCGACAAAATGACTGTTTTCTAGGTACTCGACGGTGCTGAATCCGAATATCAAAATAGTGTCGACCCTTAGCGTCCTTAAACCACCGATTTTGGTCTAGAAAATATTTTGGCTCAAAAACGTTTTCGCTATGAACACCGTTTTCGACAGTTGTAACTCAAAAAAATGAATAGAAAGACGGTTAAATGAGTAATTGTCAACTGATTTTCTGATTCCAAAACTATTTTTATAAGCAAGAGATTTAAAACAATCATTTTGTCGCACAAAACGCATAAGAACGAAAACTCGTTTTTCCGCTGCAGTTTTAAGTTTTGCACGTTTAAAACCCGCTTAAAACCTCTTCTAAAAGCTAAAAAAATGGTTTTGCTTAGGTTTGGTGATGAGCTCTTTCACATGGCTGGATCAAAAACATTTTTTAAAACCGGCTTGAAAACCGGACCGTTGAAAAACCGAGTCTCTAAACTAAACTTGGGCAACTAAACCGGATCTCTAAACTAAACGCACAGTTTTATTAGACGTTATATATATTTTTAAACTACAAAGAATATGAAACAGCGTTCCCGAAAGTTTGGCGGATACCTTTTTTGTTTGAAATTTTTCGACTATTTAGAGCAACATTCATTCTTATGGCTTATAGCAACGCTCTCATAGGAGCCATAAGAACCAATGGTTACACTATGCAAGACGTAGTGTATCATGGGATCATATATTATAAAATTTAGCAAAACTACGCTATTCCTTGAGCTAAAAACATTAGAATTAAATTCAGCATGTCTCAGCGCATAGAATAACCGTAAAACGGATCAAAGAAGCCACTTTCTGCGTTAGTTAAAATTAAGCGCGCAGGTCACGGAAAAAGCGCCTAGCATGAAAGATAATCATACTAATTAGCTGATTTTCTTTTTGGCTCGACTAATTCCAGATACTCTCATATCTCAGAGAACTCAAGCGCGTGTTTCACGAAAGTTACGCTGCGTATCTCCCGCGTTTTCCAATGATTTAAAATTGGTGTTTTAATGCCTGCTTGCATCATGTTTTACTCGGACTTTTGTTCGAGAACCTGATGTAATCAAGCTTCACTATATAAAAATCTATGTGCAAACAAAATGTTATTTTAGTAGAAATCATGACCGAAAAATGAAAAGTTTTTTTCTGCTACGAACTCGCCAAATAATAAATAATCCTCAAACTTAGTGTGAATATACAGTAATTTGGGATCATCACCTTTTTGCATGATGTTCCCGAAGAAAAAAACCGAGTAAAACATCGTGCAATAAAATCAATAATTTGATTGCTACAGTTCTTTACACTCTGCATTTCTAGTAGCTCAAAAAAGTTTCATCTTTAAATATTTTGGAAAATAATATTTCATCACTTTTCAAAACAGTTTTTGTTTAAATTGGAGCAAGGCTTGCATATGTTTTTACTACGCATGCAATGGTAACGATTATTGATTCTTACCGATGATCGCTTCTTATCCATTATCGGTTAATTTTATAAAAGAACTACCATGAGACTCACGAGATTTCGGTCTATTCACAAACGTAAAAATATTCAAGACTTTCATACTAGCAAAAGAAATGTACTGACGTTGATCGAGCCCTTTGAAAGGTTTCACTGTGGAAGTCTGGAACGTTTTTTACATCTGTGAGTAGACCGAAATCTTGTGAGTGTTACAGTAGTGACTCTTTTATAAAATTTGGATCAAAACTGACTAAGTTATAAAGAATAAATTGAACTAGAGTCATATATATGGGCAAAATCTGCGTTGCGGACGTGACATCCGTAAACTTTGAGTCACTATTATCTGAAGTGTTAAACTTTCTAGTGATGACCAGAAACGTGTATCAAGTTACTAACGATGTCACGAAAAATGAATTCTTATAATACTTGTTAAGATTATGTTTTTCGCGAAAAACTACGTCGTTGCCGACGTGAATGAAAAAGACAAGTTTTTTTAGTGCATGCGCCAATCTCTCGAAATTCTGAAATGAATAAAGTATGTCACAGATTTTTCAAATTGCATGTTGTAGAGGAGACTTTAGGCTACAAAACTTGCAGCAACGGCTTTTCTAAATCATTCGTATATTTGGCTCTGAAGTTCATCTAAGCCGTCGTTGCGGACATGACAGAGTACGAAATCCAAAAGGAAAAAAATCATTGCTATTACATTCCTGTCATCTGTAAGACTTCAACTTAATAGAAATGATACATTAGAATCTCCACTTGGTAACTGAATATAAGTTTTTCAGTTAAGTCTACAGAACATCTCTAGAAAACCTTTTTTTAGATGAATGTCTCCGATTTTGCTGAAAATTTTACAGTAGATGCTCATTAGTAATAGAAACATTCTCTGAAACTTTTAAGAGCAAAGAAAGTAGTTTCGAGCTACTATTCGCTAATTACTTTCTAATTAATTATAGTTAAAGAGCAAAGTCTTCTTCATATATTCAAATAATACAGAGTGATACACAAAAATTAGAGTAGGAAGAAATTCAAGACGGACAAACAGTAGTTATGTCCACTTTATGTTGGTTTTACCCACACCCTAGTGAATGTACGAGTAACTAAGGACTTGGATAAGAACTTGGTACAAGGAATGTCACAAGAACTTGATTGCGAGTTCAAGGACTTGGATACTTGACAAGTAGTTTACTTGAACCAAGTACTTGGGTCAAGTACATTCTAAGTCCATGACTGCTCATGTTGTAAGATCTTGAGTGAAAGGCTTTTATTAAATTTTTCTTTTTTATATAACAGCCATAGTCGTCAGTCATACGATCGCATATGATCGTAAACTCTTCCTCGAATGAATATGTTCAAAAAACAAAACAAAAGTGAAGTTATTCTAAGTATGCAAATTTGCATCCATATACAATCAAGAGTGTGAAACAAAACGGTGATTCAAGAATTATCAAGATCTTGAGCGGAGTAAGCCAAGATGATTCAAGACCTTGGGCTCTTGGAATATCTTAAATTTCTTATGTTTTCTCGCCAAGATCTTGCTTCGAGATCACTTACTGAAAAAATTCAAGAAGCCAAGATTTTGGGTACAAGAATTTTCACGAGGGCAAACTGATCGTACTTGATAAGGACTTGCTCAAGTCCTTGAAAGTACTCAGAAGGTACACGACTTCTTAAGAACTTGGTTGCACGTACATTCACTAGGGTATACACCTGCATATGCGAGAAGGGGTATCTCTTATTTGCTAGTTCTCTGATGTAAGGAAGAAAAGAAAAAAACAAAGAATGATGAGTTTATCCTTGCTACAAACTCACTTTCTCTATTTTGATTTTGCTCAGCAAGCGTCAGAAACTTATCGGTTTTATCGGTAAGAAGCAGTAACTATGATAACGATAATCGGTAAGATACGATAAAACCCTTACCCCGACCGTGTCACCTCCTTTCAAATTGCAGAAGTTTCTTTGATGAAAAAAAACAGATCTGTTATTTTCTGATACAAAACGATAACTACGAAAGAATTATTTTGCTCGTCCAGAATAGAATAAGGTTGTGTAAGTAAATCCATGTACTTTCTTTCTGTTGTTTAACTTGGTATGTTACTGATCTGTCCGTGACACGACATTACCGCGAACGACGTTACCGCGAACGACATTACCGCGAACGACGTTACCGCGAACGACATTACCGCGAACGACGTTACCGCGAACGACATTACCGCGAAGACTCGTTTATTGGAAAAATAATTGATTAGAAGAAATAAAAGAAAAATACGTGGTACTTATGATAGTTTTTGCATGATGATGCTTTTAGATCTGCTGTTTTCTTCCTTCTTTATAAGAAATATTCATTTATTTCAACGACTCCTTCATGGTTGAGACCGGTTTTTTTTATGCGTATCAATTAGATTTAAAAAGTGGTCTAAATTTGGATTACTCTTACTTTTTGGAATACTCGATTAGAGAGTTTGTTCTGGTTTCATACTTTGTCTGGCCGCCGATTACAGTTTCCCGAAAAAAGAGGAATGAAAGAGGATTCGAAATTTTTTTTCAAGAGGATTTGAAGTGAAAAAAGAGGATTCTTTTTTTCACTTTCGAACACAATTGTTTCTGTTTAGCAACTGCACAGTTATAATGTATATAATGCACGACGAAGATAGGAGAAAAAATCGGAATTCTGCCAGTACCTCTCAGTTTTCACCATCAGAACTCATTTTTTATGTAATAAAAATACTAATAAAAGTAGCGTCAAAACGGCATCGAATGATATACTTTTTCATCCTCTCCCATCACTTTTGATATTTTAGAATTTTCACATTGACAACACTCAGATTTTCACCAAAAAATGAAAATCAACGAAAAATTTTGAAACATATATCATTCGACTCAGTTTTTGACGCTGACTGCGAATATAGTATTTTCGTTGCATAAAAAATGAGTTCTGATGGAAAAGGGAGAGGTACGGGCTGAATTCCGACTTTTTCTCTCCTGATTTAGAAAAACATGAATTTTCTCAGCAACGAAACAAAATTTGAAAAAAGCTGGTGATGCTTTGGAAGCCGATACTTCAGCGAATATAATGGGATGCAAATGATAGTTCCAACCCTTCACACAAAAATCAGATAGGTTTCCAAAATGACGTATCTGAATTCTAGAGGTCTGGGTTATGACATCCGTCAAAATTAGACCTTTGACTTCGGAATAAAGAAAACCCCATTATTAAATGCAGTCATTAACGCTGAATCAGGAAAAATACTATAGAAACTAAAAAAGTAAAAAACTTGATCAAAATTTGAATTTTTCGAACACTTACCCTTGTCGCCAAAACCAAAAACTTTTTTTGCGTTATTCACTTGATTAACGCAAAAAAACTTATGCCATTTCTACATGGGTAGTCTTCGAGCTTCCAGTGGATCTAAATATTTTCGATTTTTCGACACGAAGAATATTTTTTGAAACTTAAAATAATATTTTTTCTTAACAAGCTCAACCAGCTCTATCGAATGGTGCATAATAAGTTGAAAAAACAAATTTGCTACACTTTCGCATTACGCGAACCTTACTTTTCTCCAAAATTCATCGAACTGATATATTGCGTTTCAGGGTAACGCTACTGCATTTTTTATAGTCTCACCAAAGCTACTAATATCGTTCTTAGTTCAATTTAGTTTTAAGCATCACTTTTGAAAAATATTTCAGCCAGTTTCTGTATCACAGTAGCCAAATATTCCTGAGTAAAGAGTGATTCGAAATTATAAGCATTGTAAGGCTGATATTTTGAGCATCTAAAGAGATAGTCATCAACTAAATACAGTAAAAGTTTGAGCTCATTTCAACACTCCTAGATACAACTGTGCAATTTTCATTACCATTAATACGCGTATCTATGTTTACTCTTTCTATCAAATGGTTTTGGTCTATCAAAAATGGTTTTACATGCTTTTAAAAATGAAACGAACAACTAACTGATGTCCTAAAAACTTCTCTGCAAATTAAGTGTTCCACTAACTGGTTTCTTTCTTAATCCTGTTGTTGATAGCCCATAAACTGAGCTCCGTTTAGCACATAAATATTCTTATGTTTAACATTGTTGTTAATGCAGTACTCGGTACTAGACGATCTGTTACAGAAGGATTGGGTTCACCGTTAATTTGACCGAATTTGAAGGTCATCTATAAAATTTATGTTTAAAATAAATGTTTTTCTTCTCAAATTTCTTTTTCAGGTCCACTTGATAGTAATGTAAATCAAATTAAACCTAACATCTAAGGTGAGTATGAAAGAAAATAGACGATAAATAATAAACAACCTAAAGGATGAAAGAAAAGGTTAAATGATTATACGACATGGAATTTCATTACACTCACATGATAGTGCGAGTTCATTCGATAAACAACGGTAACACTCATCAGCTGTTGTATCCACAGGTGTCACAATGGTACTATTGGTCGTATTCTCAATCTAAGGTGTATAAATAACAGCACTTATCGCGTGTATGGAGAGTGAAGAATGACAACTATGTCGCAAGGATTCATTCTTCATGCCTCATTCTTGCTCATCTATTCATCCATAAGAACTTTTGTTGTTGTCGGCAACATGTCGATCTTGCAGTGTAGTTCCATATCGTGCCCATTTTTGTAATTCTTCATTGTTCCATTGAAAGATGTTCATAGATTCTGGAGCAGTTGGTTCAATAACTTGTTCGAGTGTATTGGTCATGATTGTAATCTGAAAAAAACAAGCTTCAACATAGTTTATATTCTAAATAAAACTTCGTCAAAAGATTATTTCGCAATAAAATCCCCTTCGACTTGTCTATTTATCGATCACTACCAAAATAAACAACAAAACGTTTTCAAAGTTAAAGAGAAAGCTACAATGGATCATATAAATTCAAAGTTTCGGAATCACTTTGAGCAAGAAGATTTTGGAAAATACATTTCGCTCTTGTCAATTCCAAAATTTACAATACATGACATATTTCAGTGATATTATCGCTGAGAGTTTTCTCAGAATAAACTACTATAGCAAGTAGATAGATAGGTGGGTATATATATAGATAGATAGATAAGTACCGGGTGGCCCATAAGTAAGGAAAAACAGTATTTTTTTCGGCTTTTCTCCCTATACATGATTAGGTAGGTCTCATATTTATATCTTATATACTAGGTGATCTAACGAGGGAACCTCTCGAGGTGATTAAAAGCTTTTCGACTCAGACTATTTTCACCATGTAGGGAATAGCCAGTAGTGAAAAACCCCAAGTTGGTTTGGGCCCATGCGCCTTTTTGACGGAGATATGAG